CCCCAAAACCCCAAAACCCCAAAACCCCATGAGTAAAAATTAGTAGATATACCTGATACGTAATAATGATTATTAGCTTATAGTTCAATAAAGTAGAGAAAATTAATTACAATTTGCAAGGCCTATTTTCAGAAAATGAATGTTTCCAGGACTGGTTCAATATCATTTTTAAATGAGCCCAATGTAGCTAGTTCATTACCGAACCACCATTCTGGCTCTTTTTTCAATATAGCTGGCTTTAGCATGGCCTAAAAATTGTCATTTAGTCTAGGTAACAAAAATAGAGGATCCCCCTCTCTCACACATAACTTTTCAGTTGCATAACTCATAATACCGTTCGCTATTTAACTACCCTGATTCTGCAAAGCCTGTGAAAATAAATTACTATTGATAGAAACCTCTTCACTTAAGAAGGTATTCAATGAATAATTATTACTGCTACAAAGTGACTCTCTAAAAATCTAACTCTGATTGGTATTATTTGTATTGTTTGCACAATTTGGAATAAAATTCATTGTGGTTTCTATTTCTCTTTCAATGATCTCTTCATCTTATTTTTCCTCATACTTACTTTCATAATCAGATTTTAACCTTCCGAATAATGGGTCTTTAAATTCTTAGACTGATTATTAGACAATTAGATTCTCAGGTTTAAGAATTATAGCCTTTCTTACACTCTAATTCAAAATAGTGACTGTCTTTTGATCTATTTTGAATTTAACTTTTCCAGTAATTGGGTCTATAAATTCTTGATAAATTTCACAATCATCCGGCAAAGACATAATTCTTGCTTCATTAATAGGCTGGTTCAAGTTTTTTGGTACTCTTATTTGATTGCAGGTATCTAATTCAAATGAAAGATCATCAAATTATGGTTCAAAATAAAACGTTCCACTTCCTTACAGACTTTGTTTACTACTCGAATCAATGTCTGTTGGGAATATTTTGTTTCCACCTTCTCTCATAGTATGACAGTCTTTACCATTAGTATTTCTCCTTCTTTTCAGTTTTGTGTCGCCTTAAAAAGCTTGTTAGAAATGAATTTTCATTAGCTAAGTTTTGATTTAAGTAACGAGAGATTCTTACTCGACTACGGATGTTTCGTGCTTTTTCTTAAAAACACTCTTTTCTGAGTCATAACTATCCAGAGGATTTATAGTATGCTGAGATAATAATGGTTAAAATTCATTTTTTGTAATTGATGGCTAATCGAATAGGAAAACTTTGTCTGATTATTATTAGGATTGTTTACTAGATCTCAATGGAATCCTTAGCTAATCTTCTTAAATTATAACGATCGATTCGTCCTCTAAACAAAAATCGTCTTCAGAATTCTTAAAAGCAGAAATCATTTGGCTATCTTTCAGTTGACTTAGAATGTCTGAAGTTGGACTCATTTGATTATAAAAGTTTAGCTTTTTACCTTTTTTATCATCACTCATTTGGCTTAATCTCTTCTGTTAATTAATGTTGGCAGTGTTCAACTGTTATGGATTTTGATTTTTGCTACCTGTTTTATTTGATTCTTATAAACCTGTGTTACAAGTTATTTAGGAAGTGTTCTACATTCTAGATATAAGGTCCTTTGAATGATTATTCTTTTAAGTCTGATTCTCTGAGTTAAAATTACTTCCTAGGAACTGTTCCTTTTACATTGTATTGATTTAGGTTTAAACTGAACCATTACTAAGTGTGCTATTTTTCCTTGAAAATTAATCTCTAACATTAAATTCATTTGCTCTAAAACTCTCATTCTGATTGAATACTCCTCCAGATATAATATTGTTTTAGACATTAAGATTTGGTTTCGACTCTTACTTTTTATTAATTGATGACCCACTACCGTCCTCACAGGTCACGACTAAATTTATTGCATTTCTACTTATCTTTTACTTTGAAATCAATTGAGTGTAGCTTTGCTAATTTTGGTTTTTACTTTGCTAATTAAGTAGGATTTAATGCATTTTTTGTTTGTGAACCATTTGAGCTCTATTTGTTGATGCAACATTTATAGAGGCAATAGGGTCTTAAAATTATTATTGCTAATCTTGCATTTTTTGAAATTACTAGTTGTTTACTTTGATATTTCTAATATTTACTTGGCCATTTCCCATTTTAAGAGAAGATGAGTTATCCTTATTATCCTAACTAATGATATTACTAGAATTGCCACTGTTAATATTTATTTTTACTTGCTGTGATTATATATTGTCCTGTAAACTGACAGGTGCTTTCAAATCCTGCCCACTAATAACTTGACCATCTTTACCTGTCTTCAATTGAGTATGATAGTTCATATTCGGCTACGTTGTTATTCTAGATGATGATATTCTTTGCATGTATTACTATTGCTATTATTGAGGTGGCTTTTTATTGTTTTAATTAGCTGAAGCACATTTTTAAACAAACTAGCCTTACCCAGCTGCATCATTCAACTTAAATTTTTGGGAAATCTATTTATATTAAAGAGCATTTTAGGTTTGAGTTTGAGACTAGTTCTATATGTTTTCTTTGCTATGATTTCTGTTCACCTAAGATGCCTAAGATGACTTTTACTGCATATAATTAGTATTGGTATTTGATGAAAGCTTGATAATACTTTTTAAAGCTGCTACTTTAGCATTACTTTCTTCATTATTGGTTTTAAACATTAAAATCTTACTGGAATTCTATTGATTAATTTATGGTTGTCCTGGTTACTATTCTTCTATACCATTCTATATATTAGCCTTATTGCTAGATTTACATCTAACTTTCTATACACCCTATGTACTGCAGTTCATTTATTAATTAAAGCTATTTCCAATCAGATTTTTATCTTTTGAATTCGTCCTTTGGGTATTTTGAGCATCTTCTACCGTTAATGTGCCATCTTATCCCTAAGTTTATGATTTTTTCTTAAGTAGCTTGCTATTTGAAAGTGATCTTGATCTGGTATTCAAAGCAATTTATTACTGCTAATTTTAAGGTATTTAGATATTAGTATTACTTCCGTTAGAGTTATAATTTTATTGTTTGATGATAAGTGTTGGATTTATTATCTAATCTTTCGAAATCTTAAGTGCTTGTTGTTACTATGGATTTATCTATTTAAGTGAGTTATTTTTCTTCAGAAGTACTTTTATATTTCCATTACTGCTTTATTTAATACAAGCATTTCCATTATTATTATTTATTGGCCCATTATTCCTTTCTATACTGTTTTCCAGTTGAATACACCTTTAAATTTCTTATTTTAGCAAAATTTAGTTTGGATCTCCAGGACTTTTAATTGAATTCTTTTTTAGTTAAAGAACTAATCTTTCTTAAGAATTAGCATTTTGGCTCAAACACCTTCCCTAAGGCTGAGAGGAACTTCGCATTATTTACAACTACTGATTTTTTATACACTCCTCATTATTCATATTCTAAAGATTGACATTTATTTTACCTTAACTTTTCTTCCTCCGACTTTTGATTGGCTTAGACTCTGCATCCTTTTAAACTGAATTGTTTTTAATTATTTTGCTCATTGATAGCATCTATTTCTTTTAATTAGGCGAAAGCTAATTATTTTTCTTATTACCACTGTCACTGTGCATGTTAATGTTGTTATTTAGCTCAAGTTATAATTTAGAGATGTTTTTATTTTTATCTATTTCACCTCTATGATACTAGCCATTCTAAAATGAAGCCATCCCCAATTGATTTAGATCTTCATCAACTGACATGTTAAACTTATCATAAATTCGTTGGTCATAAAAATTTGAACTTATAAGGATATTATTTGCTAAATCCTCTGACTTTTTACCTTGGCCAAAGTTTTTAGTCTGATTTTCATGGTTATTTGTATAAAGAGAGGTAAAGTCTGCAAGAATCTCTGGGCTATCGTGAATCTTTTAATATATTGAAGTAAAAATGCTTCCTTGCATGTCATACTAGTGGTTTTCCTGCATATTTTTCTGAGATTTAAGCAACTAAGAGGCATTCATATCTTACAGTCTATTATATAGCTCGTTGACCTCAAAATTTTCGGTTGGTCTCGATACTGGGGACACAATTCTTAATTTCTAAATTGTAAACAAGATTTATCATTACCTGCTTCGGCTAGGGCTTGTCATTTGCAGCTAAGTTACTATTTTGAAGCTTTTACTTTGCAACATTTCTTGATTCAGTGTTTTGTTGTTGCTGAATGTTCGGATTTTATGAATTATTAAGAGTACTCTATTAATGCTATGCTTTTTTATGAATCATTTTCACAATTTGAATTATTATTATAAACGATCAAATTAATATTTATATTTAAATTAAAAATGTAAAATAATAAAGAATTGTGCAAAGTTCAAATCAGATCAGATCCATTCATAGAAGATATTTCTGCAACTCTCATGAAAAGTGCAAGAGGTGGTTTTACTCTTAAAAGTGAAGGAACACTTGAGGGATCTTTTACCTTCCCATTTGAGATTTAAGAGCAATTATTGATCCAATCAGACAAATAGGTACTGGCTAAGATAGAATTAGACGGTATTATTTTTGCCAAAGATAAATCAACTTTTGATGCGATTAGAATCAAACATTAGGGACAGGATTACTCACTAAGTCTTTATTTCGAGATCCAGAGATCAACATAGTCTGAAGATAAATTGCTTACTCTGGACATTAGTGTATCTGGATTACCAATTAAACAGAAGTGCTTCAGCTGTTTCCCTGCCGTTCCTCTCGCATTCTATGAAATATTAACTGCATACAATAATACTCAAATCTATGAAAGTGAAATAACTAGATTACCTTCACAAGATCCAGTTTGGATGCCATCAGGCAAGCTAAGCTCAAACCAAATCTCTCCATTATTTAGAGTAAACATTTATAACAGTTCAGATTAACAAAAATCTAGAAGATAGCTTATTGGTGGAGTAGATATTGACTATGCTATCTTAATAGATGGTAAAGAATTTATGTTTGAATTAGATGGAATGGAGAATACTCATGTTCTTGTGGATCGTGTGCAAATACAATAGTGATGATAATAAAAATAATAGCTAATCTCGAAAAAGTAAAATGTTATCTCAACAGTGAATAAAATATATTAATTAAGAAATCATCTACAGTTAATTCCTATTTGATTTCTATAAAAATTTTTATTATTTATTACCTTTTCATTAAATAGTATTGCTAGATGGGGCTTCTGACTCTTGGAGGGGTGGGAGGTCATCATCGTCGTGCTTGTCATCCTCGAAGATTGAGAGACCGAGCTTAATCATTCTGTGGATTCTGTTAGCGAAAGTGTTTGACTCGTCAAGTGAGAAACCTGAGGTGAGGAGAGAAGTCTCGAACAAGAGCCAGACGAGATCCTTAACGGTCTTGTCACTTTGGTCGACATCAGCCTTGTTTCTGAGTTCTTGGATGATTGGGTTCTTTGGGTTGATTTCCATGGTCTTCTTTGAGATCATGTATGAGGTCATTGAAGAGTCTCTGAGGGCTTGAGCCTTCATAATTCTCTCCATGTTAGCAGTCCAACCGTGTTCACCAGTAACCAAAACACATGGTGATTCGTCGATTCTAGTTGAAACAACAACTTTCTCAACCTTGTCTCCGAGAACATCCTTCATGAGCTTGCAGAGGGGTTCGAATTTGGCCTTCTCCTCTTCTTAGTGCTTCTTCTCTTCCTCAGTTTCTTCGAGGTCGAGTCCTTCTTTGGTGCAAGACTTGAGCTTCTTTCCATCGTAATCCTTGAGTTGTTGAACCATGTACTCATCAATGGGGTCAACGAGGTAGAGAACTTCGAGACCTCTCTTCTTGAGGGCTTCAAGGAATGGTGAGTTGGCAACAGAGGCTCTTGATTCTCCAGTAATGTAGAAAATGTCCTTTTGACCTTCCTTCATTCTGTTAATGTACTCTTTGAATGAGATAAGATCTTCACCACTCTTTGAGGTGTGGAATCTCAATAGATCAGCAATTTTGGTTCTGTTGGTTGAGTCTTCGTGGATTCCTAACTTGAGGTTCTTTGAGAATTGCTCATAGAACTTCTTGTAGTCCTCTTGGTTTTCTTGAACCTCAGCAAACATCTCGAGACACTTCTTGACGATGTTCTTCTTGATGACCTTGAGAATTTTGTTTTGTTGGAGGGTCTCTCTTGAAATGTTCAAGGGGAGATCTTCTGAGTCGACAACACCCTTAACGAATCCGAGCCATTCTGGAATGAGTTCATCACAGTCGTCCATGATGAATACTCTTCTGACGTAGAGCTTGATGTTGTTCTTCTTCTTCTTGGTTTCGAAGAGATCGAATGGAGCTCTCTTTGGAACGAAGAGGAGAGCCTTGAATTCGAGTTGACCTTCAACTGAGAAATGCTTAACAGCGAGGTGATCTTCCCAATCGTTGGAGAGACCCTTGTAGAATGATGAGTACTCTTCTTTGGAGATATCATCGGGCTTTCTCATCCAGATTGGCTTGGTCTTGTTGAGTTGTTCATACTCGTGGGATACTTCCTTAATCTTCTTCTTCTTCTTATCCTTTTTCTTCTCTTCCTCTTCAATCTTTGGTTCGTCATCTTCCTTCTTTTCGTCATCTTTCTTTTCATCCTCATCGTCACTCTCGGTAACTTCTTTGTCTGTTGACTTCTCAACGAGGAGTTCAATTGGGAAACCAATGAACTCTGAGTGCTTCTTAACGAGATCCTTGAGTTTTCTTTCTTCGATGTTTTCCATTTGGTCCTCTTTCAAGGTAAGCATGATCTTGGTACCTCTGGTGATTCTCTCTCCCTCATCCTTGACGACGGTGAAAGTACCTCCAGCGTTTGATTCCCATCTGAATTGTTCATCATCGTTACTCTTGGTGATAACGGTGACTTTCTCAGCGACTAGATAGGCAGAATAGAATCCGACTCCGAATTAACCAATCATAGAAATATCGGCTCCAGCTGAAATAGCTTCCATGAAAGCTTTAGTTCCTGACTTGGCAATAGTTCCCAAGTTGTTGATAAGCTCAGCCTTGGTCATACCAATACCAGTATCCCAAACAGTCAAGGTGTTGTTGCTCTTGTCGGGGATAATCTTGATGCCAAGATGTGGCTCAGTCTCTAGTTGTTCTGGCTCGGTGATAGATCTGTATCTAATCTTGTCGAGAGCATCAGATGCGTTAGAGATTAACTCTCTCAAGAAAATCTCCTTGTTTGAATAGAAAGTGTTAATGATCAAGGACATAAGTTGCTGAATATCAGCGTTGAAAGCAAATACTTCTTCTGACATGTTGTTCAAAGTTGAATCTTTTGTTTAAAAATATCAATATAGACCGCTTTTAAAATCTACAGCTTAAATAATTGGAACAATATGTGTTCTAGAACATTCCCATTTCGAATTTAATCATGCAATAGTATTTAATAGTATCTAACTCATAATATACATTTTTTATTCATTAATCAAATTAACATAATTTATCAATTAATACGAGTAGTATAAACAATATTCATGTCGACATTTTTTAGAATAGTTTCATTATTTTATCTACTTCTTGATTAGTTGTTTAAATATTCTCCATCAATTTCATAGTAGGTTTGTTTCTGAGTGTCATCGTCACTACAGCTATAATTCAGTATTAGGACCTTGATTTTCTAGGTTTTATGAACGAATTATATGAGTAAATTCAATATCGTTCTTTACTAAAACTTACTTTTCCTTCTTGTCACTGATAAGAGAACTACTCGGTTCTGTTTCAAGATCAATAATATTGGCAGTAAGGTATCTTTTGGTAACCTTAGATATATAGATTATAGCAAATATTGCCATTCCTGTACCAAAAACTAAGAGTATAATAGGCATAATGCCTGCATCAAAGTTGCCATTTGCAGCATCAGCAATACTGGATATTGTTGTACCCAGTAAAACATAAACAATAGCCCCTGGAAGCATACCAAAGCCTCCTAGCATAAAATCTCTGACTCGAATCGACGTTATTCCAAATAGATAATTCAAGACTGTAAAAGGAGCGATGGGGCACAATCTCAGTAAGAAGACCAATTTCATACCCTTGAACATTATTGGTTTAAAAAAGTTACTTCTTTCTCGACAGCTTTATCAATAGCTCTAAAAAGCTTATACTTCTTGGATTTTTGAATCAGAGTTTCTCTAAATACAAATCTACCCAATAGCATGGCTGTAGTAGATCCCAAAACTGCTGCAACATAAACAGTTAGAGTTCCAACTGAGATTGCAACTATATTTCAATGAAAATAGACTATTTTACGCCAAGTGTTCTGATAAGATAGTTAGAGCACCACACCGATCCCAATTGTGAGTAAAGTTCCTGGAATCAAGAAAATGGTGCAAATAATGTAAACAAGAATCATACATAGAGGGCCTAAATAAGTATGGTACTGAATCTGAAAAACAAATTAAATAATGTGAAATTTACCCATTCCAACACTGAAATGAAAGCCAGTTTCACATTTTCACGATCGAGTATACAATAAATCAAAATAGATAGTATTGTCATTACTATTGCAATTCTTATAACCCAATATCTCCAATTAAACTTAAACTTAGGCTTTTTTGCCTGATGATTCATCTTATCTTCATTCTAATTCTCAGGAGAATCTAAATTAATCAATAATAAGTGAAGTCTAACCAGTGATGAATTTATTAAGTTCTTCATCGTCTTTATAATGATAAGCTTTGTCATTCATCATGTTCATAACTTATAATATTTGATTTAAAATAATTTCAACTTAGTTTCATCAATCAATTGTGGGGTTTTGGGGTTTTGGGGTTTTGGGG